TCCAACTTCAGAAGTTTGATGATCCTGCAATTAACTCGATGATACTGTATCTGACTGACCCAGACAAATACACTCCATCGAAAGTCGAACTGGATTCCAATCCAGACCTTAAAGTCCTCTTTCAGCTGCGCAAACAGTTAAAACTACTCAAGGACAGCCTAACTTTAGCTCATGGAGCGACGTCCTCACCCGTGTTCGCGGTCTCCCATGACCGAAGGGGGGTGACGCCAGTTAGGGTAATGTTACCAGACGCGATAACGTGATCAAATCTGACATCCAGAGTGAGTGGCGCACCAAAACGTCGTTTTCTAGTTGCTTAATCACTGCTTTTGTCAATGTTGAAACGTTGTTTAACTGGTTGCTTAGTCACTGTTTTTGTCGATGTTGAGACATCGTTTAATTGGTTTTTGGTATTGTTTCTGAACACCCCAAGCAAGAATGAATTTTGTGTGTAGTTAAGTTAGAGACTAAGAGGCCTTTAACCATGCCAACATGCAGTTCACTTGTTAAAATCTAATCTTTGCGGAGTCAATGTATATTAATGCTACCTTAAGTACCATAATCTACATTGGTCTCACAACGCTTAAGCCGAACCTACTCGAACAATTCTATTCGGGGGGATAGCTAATTCTTTTTGATGAGTCCCGCCATAGACTTCCAAAACATTTATGGGGAAACCAAACACCCAATCTCAAGTCGTTCGTCTAAAAGACAACAGACAATTGAACCGAACTATATTTTGCCATGTAAATCTAACTTAAACCAAGTTAGGAATGGAAAAATAGTTTGGAACACTCTTCTATAGGTATAGACCCCTATAGTTACCCTTTTCAGCATGTTCCATCCCTTAACTGGTAGCTGTAGCTGTTCCCAATCATAATAGCTTACACACCAGGTGCATATAGTTTAAGGCCTTATGTAAAATCCCCTTCATAAGCCCACCTTAAACCACATAATTGCATGTCACATTGAACCAGAACGGCACAGACTGGACGTCGCCCAGAGACGACCTTCGCTGGAGGAGACCTGCAATCCTGACGTTGGTCTCCACTCTTCATCCAGTGGCCGCATCTTCAGTTCAATCCAAGGGAACCCCTCTGTTTGCTGATCAATCAACACCTCCAATCGTTGTGGATTAATCGTTGTGGATTTACCATTGTGGATTATATGACTTTTTCCAATGGATTACAGACTCTGTTTCCAAGGGGTTAAAGCATTGCTACAATGGAATTACCAACAACATTATGGAATTATCATCAACACAATGGAATTACCAAAAACATTGTGGATTACATCCTTTGACTTTTGTTTTCCTTGCTGGATTACATCAAGCTCAAGGACATTCGAAGGCGTAAGTTCATGTTGGAATTCATCCCCATGGACAGGCGATGATTTCCAAAGGGGGGACTGTAGTGAACTAGGCCTCAGGTCGAATCTGGCCTTGAGGGGCCTGCCTGGAACAAGAACTGTATTTCATTGATTTGAGTCCAGAAACACAAGATAAAGTTCATCCAGAGACTTTCTAAGTGTCCTGCACTGATCAATTGAAAGAACACTCTCTTTTTCTATTATCATTACTATTTTACAAATGTTTTGATAATCAAATTGTGTTTAGTTCAAACCATTTTTAAATGTTGAAGTGAACTACTCATTTTTAATCAACTGTGAAACAGTATTAGTGATTTTTAATTCTCATTCAAAGTAGAAATCATGTTAATGATGCATTGTCTGATTTTCTGTCTTCAATGAGCAAGTTGTGTAAGTTGGTCAAAGGTCAAGTTTCGGTCAACTGCAAGTTTACTGAAAAGAAATGTCATGTTTAACTTTTACAGAAAGATACTAGAGAGTTGACTCCACGAAGTCTGGAATCTTCATAGCAATCTTCTGTCTGTTCTTAAACAAATTTAATCTTTTTCCTTGACTTTTAATAACCTCTTACATCACAAAAACACACCTCTGTTGGTCCACCGACCAATCAGAAAGGTCTCAAATGAACCGGAAGTGACCTCTTTTAAAAGGTGCAACACTTCCTAGTTCACTGTAGTTCTGAAACTCAGAAGTTCTGAGACGTTCTCGGCAGTTCTGGGAAGAACGCTGAGGAGAACGCTGAGAGAATGCTGTGAGTTGGTTCCGAGAGCAGCAGGGTTCAGAATGCTCAGGACATCTGCGACTAAGCTGAACAAGAGAAGTTCAGAGGAACTATGAAGTCTGTTCTGGATGATCTCACGACTCCGAACGGTTCCCTACTATCCTACGGAGATGCTGAAAGGGTGTGTTAAATGGAACTTCGTACCAGTGGAGACATCTCCTCCAGGTAAAGAGTTGATTTATACCACCTAAGTGTACCGAGGAAGAAGCTGGGAACTCAGAGGAGCGTGCCGTTCTGATGCAGACACACACATTTCCCTCATCCATCCTTTCTCTCAACTTAAACTTCAATTTCCATCTTTAAAATTCTTCTATCCTGCTAGAAATCATTCCAGATATTTTCAGAAATGTCTGTTGTGAAGTGAGAAAACCATCGCCGTATGGTTTCCTCCTTGTAAAACTAGCTAACTAAGCCATGTTGTTATTTTTCAATTTGCCAAATTAATGTAAATGTGTGATGTTAACCTTTGATTCTGTAAATAAATGACCGCATTCATTTGATGGGTCAAAGAAAATTAACGTCTCACGATACATTTTATTAAATTCAATGCACGACATTATTCAGTCCAGAAAAATGAAAGAATCCGTTTAATTTATGAATATATCACAGAATATGTTCATCTACACCATCCACATGCTCCCAGGGTCTTGTGAGGTGAATTGACCCTCACTCCTCTGTGCATATGTGGCCTTGGCCTTCTTAATACCAGCAACCAGCTCTTTCCTTGTCCTACTCAGCTCCTCTGAGTTTCCAGACCTGAAGGCAGTGTTCCTGGCTTCCAGCAGGGTGTGCACCTCTGCATTCAGCTAAGGTTTTCTGTTTGGGTAGCTTTTAACATATCTGATAGTGGAAACTGTGTCAGTACATGTACTAATGTAACCCAGAACTGAGGATGTGTGTATTGGTCCAGATCAAGCAATCCTCCATTTTCAGTAGCTTCTCTTAAAACCTGCCAGTCTGTTCGATCAAAACAATCTCTCAGTATGGGGCCACTGTCCTGGATCCAACATTTAACTTTCTTTTGTACCAGTCTGGAGCATCTCAGTGGGGGCATGTAAGCAGGAGCCAGGAAGATTGAGATGTGGTCTGACAGTCCTAGGTGGGGGCGGGGTTCGACTTTGTATGCATCTTTTACGTTCGTGTAAACACGGTCCAGCGTGTTGGCTCCACGTGTTGGAATTGCCACATGTTGATAAAAGCTTGGGAGACAGTCCTTTAGATTCACGTGATTAAAGTCTCTGGCTACCACGTAAAGAGCCTCGGGGTGTTTGTTCTGCAGAGAGCCGATTATATCATGTAGCTCCTGCAGTGATTCATTAGCATTAGCGTCCGTAGGAATGTAAATAACCGTGATGAAAGTCACTGTGAACTCGCGGGGTAGATAATGTGGTCAACATTTCACTGTTATTTGCTCCAAAGCCTTCGAGCATGAGCTATTTACAACCGTACAGTTCGTGCACCAACTTTTACTCCTATAAATGCATACTCTGCCTCCCTGTGATTTCCCCGTTAGCTCGCTGCAGCGGTCCGCTCGAAAAAAAGAGTCTGTCATCCAGCTGGAAGACTGTATCCAGCGTTTCGCTTGTAATCCACGTTTCTGTGAGACAAAGCACCGCACACTTCATCTGTTCTGAGGCGCCCGCTCTCAGACGAAGTAAATCCATCTTGTTGTCCAACGAGCGGACGTTCAACAGAAAGAGAGACGGCATGTGGAGTTTTTCGGCTTTAGCGTTAGCTTGTAGCCTCACCATAACCCCCGCCCGGCATCCTCTCCTCTTAAGCCGGGAGCAGCGCTTCCTCTTCTGCCCACTGGAACGCCTCTGCTGCAGCTTCCAGGTATATGACTTTAAGATCTGCATTCTGCCGAGCGTAGTTTTGAGTTTGTTGCTGATTTCTGCTATATTTCGTGGCAAATCCACTCCTATTCTCATCAGTTCGGTTCGGCTATAGTTCATACGCATAAATCGTGCGGAATCAGGCACAGAGTCAATATCAAAACTTCTAAAAACTGGGATAGTACCGGGAGCCTGTGAAGCTGCAACTGCTCTGAGCGCGGCCATCTTGGCATTTTGTGGACTTCATTACACTACATAATAACATTTAGAGTAAAATTAAGAAGACCACACTTTATTTCACACTTTAAGGAATAATTTCGGCTATTTGGAGTTTCCAGCAGGAATATATACCAGCGAGACGTTAAAAGGCAGAAACAGCAATTTACGAGTTCTGCCTGACCCAAACTGTGGCCTTGACGCCGGACTTATCTCAACTTCTCCTAGCATGTTTTGAAAAAAACAAAGACACTTTGTCCGTCTCCTCACCCCTCCCTTCTCCAAGGTCGTGGACATGTGACAGAACCTCATCCAAGCTGATGATGAATAACACCTCTTATCAGGACAATGGCTGGGGGAGGCTCTGGACTATACTAGGCTTTCCCTTAAAAATTCAATGTTTTCACTGGCCTATATGTACATGTATAACATCTATTTATGTTGCTTTGCTGTGGTAGGTTTTTTTGATGCCTCAAATCGTGCCCTGTCTAGGACACGGTGTGAGAGATCTTTTTTTTAATACCGTCTCTCCTCATGTTTTCTTCCCTTTTCTCATCTAAGCAAAATATTATTCTGAATAAGAATAAGTGGGCCGCGCTTTTTATAGTTTCAGCTTCGTGCACTCCGCCCATCTTTTGGACGACAGTACGTACATGTTCTCGTTGTATCTCGGTGCAATGATAATAACGTTTATTCTGATTCTATCTGTACTAATAAGAGAAAAGAAAGCTCCTTCACCACTAAACTTTAGTAATAAAAAAGGTTTTTTTTTTGCATAACAAGCAGATCCTAAGAAATACCTGGGAACTTGTTGACCTGCCCTGACACAATGTGTTCATTGTCGTGGAAGGAAACGCCATGCCAGTAGATATCACACGGAGCCCGTCGTCCCAAAGGAAACTGAGGAAGAAAGCAAAAAGAAGAAAACATTTATATTTCTCTTAAGAGGGAATGGTTCATCAGTTAGCATGACTTTTAGCATAGCTCACAATTAAACATGTTAAATGTTAAACATTTCCTTTGTCAGAATGAATAAAGATGTCAAAGAAAGTGTCATTCATTAGCATGACCAGTCAGAGGTTGACAAAAGGAAATATTCCAGGTTGTCCAGAAGACAACCTCTATACAGAATCTGGTTGTCAGCTAAACTTTTAGTTCACAACCTTTACAATAAAGAAGACAAAAATATATCAGAAATGTAATTTAATAAGTATATTGCACTATATTTAATGTTTAAATGGTCTCAGTCAGCCATCTTGTGAACTGCTTGTAATTCCCAAACTACTGAGTGGCTGACTCTTTCAGTAGCTAATAATAATAATAATGAATTTAATTTGTAACGCACTTTTCATTAACAAAAATCTCAAAGTGCTACAGAGTGCAACTAAAATCAATGATAAAATCAACTAAAATCTGTGATAAAATCAACTAAAATCAATGATAAAATCAATGATAAAATCAACTAAAATCAATGATAAAATCAACTAAAATCAATGATACAATCATGTAGAGGCAGAATAGGCTTGCTTAAAAAGAAAAGTCTTTAAGCCTTTTTTAAAGTCGGTCAATGATCGTGGAGCTCTCAGATAGTCAGGGAGGGAGTTCCAGAGGCGGGGGGCAGCCACACAGAATGCCCAATCTCCCATGGTTCTTAATTTAGTTCGTGGAAGGTGGAGGAGATTACTGTTCTGTGATCGTAGGGACCGGGTGGATGAATATGGAGCAAGAAGGTCCTTAAGATAATCTGGTGAATTTCCGTATAAACACTTATGGGTGATGAGAGCAATTTTGTACTGAATTCTGTAAGTGACAGGAAGCCAATGGAGGTTATGGAGAATGGGTGTAATATGTTCAAATTTACGAGCTCTCAATAAAATCCTGGCTGCACTGCTTTGAATATTTTGAAGCTTCTGAAGGTTTTTGCCAGGTATTCCAGTAAACGGGGAGTTGCAGTAATCGAGCCTGGAGGAGACAAAAGCATGGACGAGTTTCTCTGCATCAGCAAAAGTGAGAGATGGGCGCAGTTTGGAGATATTTTGAAGATGGAAGAAACAGGTTTTAAACAGATGCTTAATGTGATTTTCAAATGTAAGATGAGAGTCCATTTTTATTCCAAGATTTGTAACAGAGGTGGAGAGGGGAATGTCTTGTCCAGAAAATGAAATAGTCGTTATAGTTGAAGTTTGAACCTGGTGACGGGTGCCAATCAGTATGGCCTCTGTTTTGGAGCAGTTTAACTGAAGAAAGTTCTGATTCATCCATGCCCTTATCTCCTCCAGGCATGTAGAGAGGGCAGCTGATGGAGGGGAACTTCCTCATTCTCCTCCTCATCCTCATCTGCTTCCTCATCATCAGACTTTGAAAGAGAGACACTCGCAGAGTAATTAAGACAGAGATTAAAGCAGAAAAAAATATTTTCACTTTTTCTCCACTTAGTTACCCAAGCATCCCCTCCAACCAACAACACACATTCAAGAGCTTTTCCTGAATACAAACCACTTCTCAAACATTTTCATGTAAAGAGCAGTATACTGTGTACATGACCTTCGTAAAAGTATGCAGTAACCTTCAAAGTTCATGCTCAATAATCCAGGTAAAAAATCCAACAAAAGTTAAGTCAGGTTCTCGCGATGGTTTCTTTGTGTTGAAACAACAAAGTCCATGCTCAGTAATCTAGGTATACAATCCAACATTTTTCAGTCAGGTCATCTGGACAGTTTCTTTTTTTGATCTGAAACATTTCGCCTTCGATCCAGAAGGCTTCATCAGTCAAGGAAACACACAACAAAACTGATTCTTCCCCCAACATCTTACTCCAAAGCGGAACAAACCAGTTCTGCTTGTGATAAGATGGTCTCTTCTCTAAGATGGTCTCTTTGGTATGCCCCCTCGGCGTACCAAAGAGACCATCTTATCACAAGCAGAACTGGTTTGTTCCACTTCGGAGTAAGCTGTTGGGGAAGAATCAGTTTTGTTGTGTGTCTCCTTGACTGATGAAGCCTTCCGGATCGAAGGCGAAATGTTTCAGCACAAAAAAAGAAACTGTCCAGATGACCTGACTGAAAAATGTTGGTTTATGTTGAAACGTTTCGTCATTCATCCAAAGGACTTCATCAATCTGAGGAGTCACAACAAACTCAGACCCACAGGCAGCACACTGACACAATGGGCCAACCAGTTTGATGGTGATAAGATGGTTTCTGGTACCGAAGACCATGAGGGGGCAATCAAAGACCACGAGGAGGGAAACATGTCAGGAGACAGAGGGAGAAGAGAAAAGTCAAGAATGTGGCATTGAGCATGACAACTCTAAATGTGGGGACAATGACAGGCAAAGGTAGAGAGCTGGCTGACATGATGCAGAGAAGAAAGGTAGATATTTTATGTGTCCAAATGACCAAGTGGAAGGGCAGCAAGGCTTGCAACATTGGAGCAGAGTTTAAACTGTTTGCCATGGTGTGGATAGAAAGAGAAATGGAGTAGGGGTGGTCCTGAAGGAGGAGTTGGCAAATAATGTAGTAAAGGTGAAAAGAGTGTCAGATAGGGCGATGTGCCTAAAGGTAGAAGTAGAAGGTCTGACGCTAAACATTGTCTGTGGTTATGCTCCACAGGTTGGATGCGATGGGGAGGAGAAAGATACATTTTAGAAAGATCTGGATGAAGTGATGGAGAGTATTCTCAGGGAGGAAAGAGTGGTGATCGGAGCAGACCTGAATGGACATGTTGGTGAAGGAAACAGGGGGGATGAGAAAGTGATGGGTAGGTTTGGTGTCAAGGAAAGAAACCAGGAAGGACAGATGGTGGTGGATTTTGCAAAGAGAATGGAAATGGCTGTAGTCAACACATATTTCCGAAAGAAGGAGGAACATAAAGTGACCTATAAAAGTGGAGGAAGGAGTACGCAGGTTGACTACATTCTGTGTAGAAGAGAAAACCTGAGGGAGATTGGGGACTGTAAGGTTGTGGCAGGGGAGAGCATGGGCAGACAGCATTGAATGGTTGTGTGTAGAATGACTGTTGTTGTGAAGAAGAGGAAAAAGAGTAAAATCAGAGATGAAGACCAAATGGTTGAAGCTGAAGAAGGAAGAATGTTGTGAGAAATTCAGAGGAGCTGTTAAAGGCTCTGGATGGTAAGAAAGAGTTACCAAATGACTGGGCTACTACAGCAACAGTAATCAGAGAGACAGGTAAGAATGTACTTGGTATGTCATCTGGACAGAGAATAAATTATAAAGAAACCTGGTGGTGGAATAGTGAAGTGCAAGATGCCGTTCAAAGAAAGAGATTAGCCAAGAAGAAATATGACAGTGAGAGGACTGAAGAGAGGAGACAGGAATATAAGGAGATGGGATGTAAAGCCAACAGGGACGTAGCTAAGGCAAAGCAGAGGGCATACGATGAGTTGTATCGATTGGCATGACAGAGGGATCAGGCTGGAAAGGATGTGCAGCAGGTTAGGCTTGTTAAAGATGGGAATGGTAATGCTCTAACAAGTGAGGAGAGTGTGACAGGAAGATGGAAGGAGTACTCTGAGGAGATAATGAATGAACAGAATGAAAGAGAAAGAAGAGTAGAAATCACATAAACTGTGGACAATGAAGTGGGAAAGATTAGTGAGGGTGAAGTTCTAAAAGCTCCGAAAAGAATGAAGATGGGGAAGGAAGGAAGACCTGATGACATACCAGTGGGGGTTTGGAAATGTCTTGGAGAGATGGCAGTGAGGTTTTGGACTCAAATATTCAATGGCACATTTGAGGATGACAAAATGCCTGAGGAATGGAGAAGAAGTGTGCTGGTGCCCATTTTTAAGATCAAGGGTGATGTACAGAGTTGTAGCAACTACAGGGGAATTAAGTTGATGAGCCAAATGATGAAGAGCTGGGTGAGAGTTGTGGAAGCAAGACTTTGATGAGAGGTGACTATTTGTGAGTAGCAGTATGGTTTCATGCCAAGAAAGAGCACCACAGACGCCATCTTTGCTTTGAGAATGTTGATGGAGAAGTACAGAGAGGGTCAGAAAGAACTCCATTGTGTCTTTGTGGATTTAGAAAAAGCATATGACAGAGTGCCGAGGGAGGAGGTGTGGTATTGCATGAGGAAATCTGAAGTGGCAGAGAAGTATTTGAGACTGGTACAGAACAAGTATGAGGACAGCAGGACAGTGGTGAGATGTGTTGTAGGAGAGACAGATAGCTTCAAGGTAGAGGTGGGATTGGATCAAGGATCTGCTATGAGCCCCTTCTTGTTTGCTCTGGTGATGGACCGACTAACAGATGAGGTCAGGCAGGAATACCCATGAACTATGATGTTTGCAGATGACATTGTGATCTGTGGTGAGAACAGGGAACAGGTGGAAGAGAACTTGGAGAGGTGGAGGTATGCATTTGAAAGAAGAGGAATGAGAGTCAGCCATAGTAAGACAGAGTACATGTGTGTGAATGAGAGGGAGGCTGGTGGAACAGTGAGGCTACAAAGAGCAGAGGTCACAAAGGTGCAGGACTTCAAGTACTTGGGGTCCACTGTCCAGGAAAATGGGGAATGTGGTAAAGAGATGAGAAACAGAGTACAGGCAGAATGGAGTGGATGGAGAAAATATTAGTGATCTGCAACAAAAGGGTGTCAACAAAGATCAAAGGAAAAGTTTACAAGACAGTGGCAAGACCAGCTATGTTGTATGGTCTGGAGACAGAGACATGGACAAAAAGACAGGAGAAAGAACTGGAAGTGGCAGAAATGAAGATGTTGAGATTCTCCTTAGGAGTGACAAGGATGATAAGATCAGGAATGAGATCATCAGAGGTACAGCACAGGTTGAACAACAGGGAGATAAAGTTAGAGAGACCAGACTGAGATGGTTTGGACATGTCCAGAGGAGGGACAGTGGGTATATTGGCAGAAGG